AATCTACACTGTTACTATTAAAAAATTTTTACTAATAAAGATATGAGTAAGGCCTCACCTTAAAACCAAAAAAAAAATATATATATATTTATATATATTATATATATTATATTATATATAAGACCTGATAATTGCTCTACCCCACCCCCTAAAAAATCACCTGATAAATGGCACTCTCCTAAGTGTTTTTTTTTGATTATCAGCTCTTTGAAGTATATCATTTATTAATTCATCATCAGTAAATGTGATTAACTCCTCTCTAGGTAAATGAACAACTAATCTAATAACATCAGGTGCTTCATCATGCATTTTACAATGCATAATTTGCCAAAAAGACTCTGACGCTGATATGTAACATGCATCAATATACTGTTGAATTTCGTCAACCATTTTTGGTACATTTGAGCTAGTACCAATACTATTATTACTAATTATTACACTTGCCCAGTCATGCTCTTTGTAAACGTATTTAAATAAATATTTTATTGCACGAATTGACGAACAAATCTCAACATTGATATGACAGTTGTATTTTTTGCAGAGGTAAAGATTGTGAGGTACAACCCAATGGTTATCAAGCTGTTTACCTTTAACTATCACTTTGCAACCATCATTGCGTCGGCGATAGATAGGATATCCATTTTCATTCTCACATGAAACTTGTTGGTAAGATTTAGAAAATCCTTTGGAATATTTGCCATCTTTTATACATAGTGCATGCATGTTCAATTGTCCGCAAGGCCCATGCATCATGCATTTGATTACTGTTGCATGCTCATCTGAATACTTATTTGAATCAGAGATTTCTGCAGAAAATATTTGGTTATAATCATTTGTTGTATGTGGTTTGTCTTCATCTGCCAAAACTATCAGCATATGTGTATGCAAAAGACCACACATTTGTACTTCAACAATATAAATATATGCAGTAGTTTTACCAAAAATCTCCTTTTTTAAAATATCGTCAAGTAAGGCATATAATTTTATATGAAAGACACATGCACAGAGATTAGGTCTATCTTGCGCACTTTGCTCAGGTAGTAATGCCGCTTGAATTTCTGCCCAATTCAGATTGCAGATCATAATAATAAAGAGATCTGGTTTACCTGCTTGTCCAATGATAGCTATGATATCTTGATAGAGCTGGTATATAAGACGCGGCCCACCAATAAAGCTAGATAAAAGTATAATACGTTGTTCAATATGTGTTCTACCTGATGAAATTTCTTTATTAGCGGTAAGTATATCTTGTAGCCCACTATACAATTCAATTCTAAGTTGTTTTATTTTGATCTGAGATAATTGAGTCGATCCTGCTCAATATATGCATAAGCGTCCACTATATACTGTTGAAACAGACGGCCAGACGGCCAGCTCGATGTAATCCAAAAGTTTTCAAAGGTGCATAACCACGCACTTGCAAGTGATAAGCATAAAATTGCATCATTGTTACACATCATGAATTTTCATTTTCTTCATGATTTTCAAAATTATTTCCATCATCAGTATTATCATTAATTATTTGCTGATTTGGTGCATTAGTTAAAGGAATATTTGGATGCTAGCCTGGTTCACCATGAGAAAAAAGCAGCACATAGTGTAATGGGCTGTAAGATAGATGGGTTTGGAAAATCTGTTGGAAACCACCTTCTTGCTTATGTAGAATAATATCACGGTTTGCGCATCTATATTCTTCACCATTTCTAACTATGAGTATAGCAACCTCTGATGCGGTAGGTGTAGTATACTGGTGTTCATTGTGTTCCTTAATAATCACTATTTTTAGATCTTGCGTTGAATTATTATGTATTATTTGAGCTGCTTGTCAAAAAATTCACATATACAGATTTACTTCATGAAGCATTTGTTGAAGTTCAAAAAGCACAGAAGTATCCAAGCCAGGTATAACTTGTTGTTTCTGTCTAAGCTGTTCTTCAGTATCGTATATATAGATTTGACTAAATGATGAATTTTCATGATTTTCCAGTAGAAGTGTTTCTATACGATGATAAATCTCACCATGAATGCGAAATATGTACACACTGCTTGTTCCAGTCACACAATCATCAATTTTAGCACCTAATGAAGTAAAGGCAAGAGCAGAATTATACATGCGAATCTTTGTTCGAAATTCACGTGAGCGAGTATTATTTTCAGTTAATAAAGTATGAAGAGTTGGCGAAAGTGGTGCAATTTGTGGCAAATGCACTATTTCTTTTGCACAGCATGTACTAAACACTGGTTTTGATGCTGTGTCTGAAATTCGTTCGTCTTTCTAATGCAAGGCACCACAATTTGCACATTTAATATTCATGTGACCCAAATTGTGCAAAGCGACAGTACTATTATAATTTTCTGTAAAGGCTTGACGATTAGCACAACTGTTTGTCTTCCTTCGTTTGGCTTTTCGTTCTTCAGCATGCTCTATTGATTCGGCTTCCATTCTTCGCGCATATCTTTTTTATTGTTGTGACTATTATTGCATAATTTGCTAATCAGTGAGAGTAGTGTTGTGATGTGTTCTTGCCTCTCTAGCTAGCTGATTTTTACATTCACGTGCACTTTCAACGGTCTTAGTTTCATTTAAAATTTTTCTTGGACCATCTTTCTTGCATACCTTTCCCGGGCTAATCGATTGTGATGTTCTCTTGCAGTTTCAGATGGTTGTAAAACAGATTCTGTTGGTTCAGGTTCTGTTATCTTGAAAGACATAGCAGAAGTAGTGTTAGCTTCGGTTAGCTCAAACGACATAGTAGTAGTTGTTCCTAATTGGGTTATTTCAGTCAACGTAGAATCAATTATTTCGCATTCATTTATCTCAAAAGATATATTATCCACAGTAATATTTTAATTAAAGTTAACTGGCATTGTGAATTTAGATATTGAATCTATCTAATTAGAAAAAAATACAAAAGAGAGAGAAACAGAAATGCGAAAAAAGCACATGCACAGAATTTCAATTTATATTATAATGCATAGCAGAGTTTAACGTGCATTCAATAAAACACTTACAGAACGTATTATAGCATTTACAAATTCGCTTTTTTAATTATCTATCCATTTAACAACTTACTATCGAGTTAATATTTCATTCATGCATAAAAAATAAAATAAAAACAAAACTAAAAATATTGTTATTTTAAGCTCCAAGTAATTAATTCACAATTAAATTGCAAAGCGTAGCTTTAACAGCGTGTATGCTTTATTTAATAACAAATATTTAAAATAAACTGTTCAAATTCGCATTAATTAAGTATATCTATATACTAAAAAAATAATTTCAGGTTAAGAACTTTATGGAAGGTGGAATATAGTGGTGTTAGGAGTAAAACTGCTCAAAGAAAAGTTTTGTTAGTGCACGAAAGGTAGTGTATTATGCAAATTTTCGAGAAATAAGCAATTTCTTCAAAATGAACTTCTGTCGATTAATGCGTGATAGTGACAATTTACTTAGTGTTTTGTTTGCGCACCCGGAGTATTTTTTTGTCATTCTTGTCATGTGAAAAAATAACATATTGATTAGCTAATAAATTGAAAAATTTATAAAAAATGAAAAGCACAGAATTTAATAAAATTTATAGTTAAAGTTCTAAATAAATACCATAAAAGTTATTATCAGGTAAGTAAGAACGTCTTATCCATTTAAATTATAAAATTTTATTTTTTCAAACATAATAAATATTTTTTTTTTCTTTACAAAATTTCAATAAACTATAACCCACTCAAATTTCTAATCTAAATATACTATACAATTTTATATAACTATGATTCTAATAAGAAATCGGCGATATTAATATACATCGTATATACATACAATTTTGAATTATATTTAAATTTTAAAAGCGCTTAAAATTCTAATATTAACAAAGCACATAGTTAACTTTAATATTATTCGATACTTTAATTTTCTTAAGGATTTCTATGCAACACGTATAATGTAAAAAAAATACAACCTAATTTTTGCTTAATAAATATAATTTTGTCAGCGTATTGGTTGTAAACTATTTATAACTTTGGTAGGTTGTTTATTAGAATTTTTTAGTTTTAAACAGACTTCTGTAAAAGCTATAGAACGGTAAACAATTGAGTCACTTGTGTAGCGATCTGCAAACTTGGGGCATGTTTGGGACAGTTCTATATATTAAACAGATATATCTATATACTAAAATTTTATACAATTAAATAGCTATAATAAGTAGTACAAATCACATGATGCTAGACGCATTGAACATTTAAATTTTTAGTATAGACTTCTGAAAAAAAGCTATAGAACGGTAAACAATTGAGACGCTTGTGTAGCGATCTGCAAACTCAGTGCATATTCGGGACAGTTCTATATATTAAACAGATATATCTATATACTAAAATTTTATACAGTTAAACAGCTATAATAAGTAGTACAAATCACATGATGCTAGATGCGTTCAGGACGGTTCTACATATTAAACAAATAGATCTATATACTAAAATTTTATATAGTTAAACACAGGGACAGTGAATAATATCAATTTGCATTAATCATATGTAAATCGATATTTTTAGGTAAAATTGTAGGTAAATCGATATTTTTGAAAATTTTAATGCAGTGTAATATCACGAATATTGGGCAAAATTAAGCATAATTTGGGCCAGGCAATATAAATTTGACAACCTGTATCCAGTGATGTAAATTGGATCGGCACAGTAGGCGCAACGCACATAGTTTTAAATTTGTGTATATATCACGCTCTCTGTATATATAAAGTGCGTATAAATTTTTTTTTGTATATATTTTTTTTGCGTTTGCACCAATAAATTTATAACACTGCCTGTGTCATTGGAGGGTCTCGACCAGGGGTATGAAACCTTTTGTCATTTGTCACATTATCCATATTCTGTGTTATAATTGGTTAATTAGTGTAAATCGATATTTTTAATACGTTCTGATTGGTTGATCAGTATAAATTGATATTTTTAACTATATTGATCGATATTTTTGCAAAATTAAATCGATATTATTCACCATCCCTGGTTAAACAGCTATAATAAGTAGTACAAATCACATGATGCTAGACGTGTTGAACATTTAAATTTTTAGTATATAGATTAAGGCGTAATGACTAGAAGTGAGCCAAAGCTTAGAAAAAGGTTGGAAGAGAGTAAGGCGGAGTAACTAAAACATAAAAAAGCTTAGTTAGTAGGATAGAAATGAGTAAAGGAAGTATATAAATGGTAGGATGCTTAGCAAATATATAGTTCTAGTCAAAGGAGCTAAGAATAACTTGTACAAGCCTTAGGAGAGGGCCAAAAATAAGTGTTTTCTTTTGGGGGAGGGGTCTTTTCAAAAAACATATCTATATATAGAAAAATCGAGAAGATAAGAAACCTAGAGGGTAATTTTGTCAAAATAAAAGACATATGTTTTCTGGTCCTCTCTTACTTATTGAAACTAAAAGTATAAAAGAGCTGTTTTTTTGCTCTTCGAATAAAGCTTTAGACTTCAATATCTTTAATATAGGAGTAGTAAGAGTTGATTTCTCTAGTGTTGTTATAAATTTATTGTAATATGATTGTATTTCTTGTTATTTTTTTATCTTAACCATTAAGATTCTTAACAATTATATTATACATTTTTATTACCTCTTTATTTTATTAATTATATTGCTTACATCATCTACCTTGGAGATATTGATATCTGTAAACCACATTATTTATTAATTATATTGTTTATGTTATCTACCTTGGGGACATTAATATCTGTGAAATACTAGGGTATTTGGTTAACTATATTTGACAAAACTATATGCAGTATTATATAAAAATTAATTATTAAAGATTTTTTTTTGTATTTAGTGATCAGAATATTAATAAAGATTATTTATCGCTTTTTATATATGCTTTAATAGTAAAAGATGACTTGCATATTTTTAGATGTCAAGAGTAAATTGATTTACTTTTTTTTGATTATTTTAGAATAATTCTATTTTTAAACATATTTATAACAAAGTTACATTAAAATTTTTTTAATATTAATATTTAAATTTCAAGTTGACTTTTTACAAAAATTTGATTCATATTGTAAACGATTTAAAGAAAGATGTTTTCATTATAGGTAAAAAAATTTAATACTGGAACATAATATTTTTTAATGTAACTTTGCTATAAATATGTTTAAGAATAGAATTATGCTAAATTAATCAAAAAATGTAAAGCAATTCACTCAAGATATCTAAAAACATGCATGTCATCTTTTACTATTAAAATATATATAAAAAGGGATAAATAACCCAATTACAAAAGTAATAAATAATCTAATTACTATTCTAATTGCAAATTCAAAAAAAAATATCTTTAATAATTAATTTTATATGATACTACATATAGTTTTGTCAAACATAGTTGATCAATTCTCTAGTGAAGTATATTACTTATATTACAAACTGTTTTAATCTAGATTTAAACTTTTAAATTAAATATCTGATCAATTACTAGTAGATATAATTAAGTGTCCTGATCTTGGATCAATTACATAATCTTATATGCTTAAATTATTACTATAATCAAATTTATTTATTATTATATTACTTTGAGTACTATACAAAGAACATATAAGTTAACTATTGAATCTAAACTCTGTCTATAGTTCTATAAGCTTTTTAAATAATAGTAACAATATTATTAATATATCAATTTAATATATAATAGTTATTCTACATTTATCATAAATATTATAAAACATTATAGGCAGACAGAGATATTATATATCATTGTGGCTGCACTGCAATTATATAAAATATCGAAGACTGATCTATGATGTTTTATGATATCAATAACAAATACATGAAATAACTGATTTATTCTTATAAATTCTAATGTTTATTATTTTTTTACTGTATCTTCATGGCTTTCTTTACAATAAAAAAAACTTTTCTAATAAATTCTTCAAAATTTAATATATTTAATAGATATTCTATAAAATAGATAGGCAATATAAGAAATAAGCTTCATTAATGATTTGTAATTATTAATTTTTTAATATCAGAGTTTTGGAGTTTGCGGAGTTTGCCTATTCTATAGAACATTCTATTTAATATCTCTCTTTTGATTTTTTAAGCCACAAAGCAAAGATTAGAAGAAATAAATACATCTATTTCAACCATATCTAATAATAAGATCAATAATAATACATTTAATAATAATTCAAGTGAGATACAAAAAAAAGCTACATATTATTGAAAAAAGGCCAAAAATAAAAATACAGAAAGATCTACAAAAAATTGGATTAAATTTGAAGAATTTCATACTAGTTTTGGATATTTAACTTCTCTAACAGACTTAGATGATATAAAACAAATTGAAAAAGAAATTGTTAAATATATTTTAGGCATGAAAAAAAATGGTAATAAATATAGAGCAAATTCTATAAAACAAGCAGTAGATACTATTAGTAGATTTTTACTTTATAATTTATTAATTCATATTAATTTATATGATTAATATTTATTTTTGGACTTGTATACTATTTTACATAGAAAAATACATGACTTTCAAGAACAAGAGTTTGGTAAAATTAAGGGATCAATTGCTTTAAATTCACAACAAATTCAAGAAATTTTACAATATCCTAAAATAGACCATAGCAATTTAGTAAACCTATTATATCGTATTTTTATATATTTATCAATTTTCTTGCAATACATGGTAGTAAATACTATCAATTTAAGGTTAATCAGTTTAAAATTGACAAGTATGGAAGTTTATAATTTTTCTGTTATACTTCCAAAAATAATCAACATAAACTTTAAAAAGATCAAGCATATATTATTTAAATTTCTTTAGATACTGTTAGACCATACAATAATATAAAATTCTACTTGTTCAAATGACCTTTTGTAGCTGATTCAGAATTTTATTTGTAGCCAAGTTCTGACTAGATAGAATTAGGTATTTGGTATAAAAAGAATCATATAAGAAAAAATAAATTAATAAATTAATAAATTTTATGCATAAAAATAGATATATAATATAGATCGATATTTCTATAGAGTTACTTACAAACTATTCTAGGCTAAAAACTGCTGCTCAATATTTACAAAATAATGATATTTTAGAACAGGCAATTATACAACTCATAGAACATAAAAGTATTCAAGGAATTTGTGCTTACAAGCAAGTTAATGAAGATCAACAACTCATACTGTAAATACTTTAATAGGCAAATCATGAGTCACCTAAACAAATATTTTTTTTATATATAAATTTTACTATAAACCCGAATATGCAGTACTTCTATCTAAAACTTATTTTTTACTAAGTAAATCACTCTTGGACTTGTAACAAAAGTTGTAAAGCTCATCAAGATGCATCTAATGGTAGTAAGAATATTAAAATCAGCATAGTGGTTCTTGAAAAATCTTTAAAAAACTTCTTTCTTACATATAAAATTTCTTTAAAAAAAATCAATTTTTTTAAGAAATTTTATATGTGAGAAAGAAGTTTTTTAAAGATTTCTTAAGAACCATTAATATTTTTACTACTATTAGATGCATCTTGATAAGCTTTACAACTTTTGTTACAAGCCTAAGAGTGATTTACTTAGTAAAAAAAAGTTTTAGATAGAAGCACTGCACATTCAAGCTTATAGTAAAATTTATATATAAAAAAAAAAAATTTGTTTAGGTAACTTGTGATTTGCCTATTAATCAATATTACAGATAGACTTGCAAATAATAATAATAATTAAGTTTACAAAATTCTTTACAAGAGATTATATATAATATGAAATTTTTAGAAAATAATTTTAATTCTAGCAATAAAAATTCTTTTAAATGCTTATTTTTAATAATTGTTCTTTTATGAATATTATATTTAATATTCAAAAACAATAAACCTATTATTATTAAATTATAATTTTAAAGCTTAGTAAATATTTATAATAAACACTATATATTAGTTTATAAAATTACAATTGTGTAATTATTATATACAGTCAAACCTCTCTATAGTCACCTTCTCTATTGTCACAAAATTAGTATAATTACAAATTTATTTTTATCAATTATTTATAACTATATAAAAATATCTCTATATTAGTCACACCTCTTTACAATCACAGTTTTTTGTATTCTGAAAGTGTAACTATAGAGAGGTTTGACTATAATAGATAATAAATACAATTAAAACTTTATAATTCTCAGCTATATAATTTTTAGAGTACCAAATATTTTTATTATAATTATATAAATTTAATATTTATTATGATATTATTTATAAAAATATTGGCTATAAAGATATTAGCTATGAAGATATCAACAATAAACATATTAAGTATTGTAATATAAGCTATGAAAATAACAGTAAAAAATTATGAACAAACAATTAGAAGCCATAAAATAACTGATTTATTCTTACAGATTCTAACACTCATTATTTTTTTACTGTATCTTCACAGCTTTCTTTACAATAAAAAAACTTTTTAATAAATTCTTCAAAATTTAATACATTTAATACCTCTCTTTTGACTTTTAAAACTGCAAAGCAAATATTAGAAGAAATAAGTACAACTATTTCAACTACATCTAATAATAATAAAACCAATAATAATACATTTAATAATAATTCAAGTGAGATGCAACATATTATCGAAAAAAGCCAAAAATAAAAATACAAAAAGATCTACAAAAAAATTAGATGATTAAATTTGAAGAATTTCATACTAGTTCTGGATATTTAACTCCTTTAACAGACTTAGACAATATAAAACAAATTAAAAAAGAAATCATTGAATATATTTTAGGTATGAAAAAAAAGATAGTAATGAATATAGAGCAAATTCTATAAAACAAGCAGTAGATACTATTAGTAGATTTTTACTTTATAATTCACCAATTTGTGTTAATTAATATGATCGATATTTATTTCTGAACTTGTATGCTATTTTATATAGAAAAATGCATGATCTTCAAGAACAAGGGTTTGGTAAAATCAAGAGATCAATTGCTTTAAATTATAACAAATTTAAAAAATTTTACAATATCCTAAAATAGACTGTAGCAATCCAGTAAACCTATTATATTGTATTTTTATATATTTATCAATTCTTCTTGCAATATATGGAGGTAAACACTATCAACTTAAGGTTGATTAGTTTAAAATTAACAAGCTTAAAAATTTACAATTTTTCTATTATATTTTCAAAACTAATCTACGTAAACTTCAAAAAGGTTAAGCAAACATTATTTCAATTTCTATAGATACTGTTAGACTATATAATAATATAAAATTCTACTTGTCCAAACAACCTTCTGTACTGATCCAGAATTTTATATGCAGCCAAGTTCTGACTAATAGAATCAGGCATTTGGTATAAAAAGAATCATATGAGAAAAAATAAATAATGAATTTATGCATGAAATTGGACATATAACACAGATCGATATTCCTATAGAGTTACTTACAAACCATTTTGGGTGAAAAACTGCTGCTCAATAT